CTCTCTCAAATAAATAAATAAAATCTTTAAAAAAAAAAAAAGAAAACAAGTCTATAAAAGTAACAACTTTCGAGGTATTGAAAATAAATACAGTTTGTTCATGTAATGCAAGTAATGAAGTTTTATTTTACTCACCAAAGGAGTAAAGAAGACTTGAGAGCAGGTGGGGATTGGGAGGAGAAAGGGTGCCGGTGAATCATTCATTAGAAGGTGCATTCTTCATTCTGTGCCATTTTCTGCATTAAGTTTTCAACCTTTGGGGAGATGTTGATTATCTTGCACTCAAACTGCATTTAAAAATAAATTTGTAGCACAGAAGGGTCGCCTGGCTGACTCAGTCGGTGAAGCATATGATTCTTGATCTCGGGGTTGTGGGTTCAAGCCCCACAATGGGTGCAGAGATTACTTAAAAATAAAATCTTAAAAAAAGAGATAAGAAAAAAAAAGGTTGTAGCACAGAAAAAAAAAATTAGAGCAAAATAAAGAAGTTCCAAGTATAGAAAAATAATGAGTGCTTACAAGAGACAAAAGCAAGGGTCTGTAAACTCGGGCACATGGGCCAAATCTGGGCCACCACCTATTTTTGTAAATAAATGTTATTGGAAGAAAGTCACCCCCATTCGTTTACATATTGTCTATGATTGCTTTCACGCTACAAGGTCAGAGCTGAGTAGGCCCACGACGCAGATATGGCCGCTGGAGCTTATTTACTCTCTGGCCCTTCACAGAAACCCTGGACTGAAGGGTAGTAGAAGAAGCTGCCTCTCATCCTCACCTACACGGCACGCTAACACAAAGCAGAATGTTCACCTGAACTTGACCGGCTTCTCAAAATCATTCTATTGGATGTTCTCTGAATGTCTGCTGTTGTGTCAATGTGTCTTCGTTTGAAACTGTAATATTAAAACTATGGTATATTATTTAGTGTGTTTTGGGGTGAAGTGTCATTCTGGGATAAAAAAAGGGGGATGTCAAAAATGTTACAATTTCTCAAGAGCCATGAAAATTAGTTGACTGTAAAGTCACTACACAGGTAAGTCCGCTTAATCATCTGATCGCGCCCCCCCCCCCGGATTGTTTCCATTCAGAACCTCCAGGACTGTCTTGAGCTTTAACTGGAATCGGTCAATGGAATCCACAGAAATTTCTTGAGCATTTCTCAGGTGTCTGGTCCCGTGCAAGGCCCTGTGAGGGCAGATGAAGAAGCCGTGCCTGGGGTTCCAGACCAGTAAACCGGGCCAGTCATCAAAATAGGCAAAGCTCTTGGCAACTTAGTTACAGAGCACTGAAGGCCAACAAGTGTCCAGAGAAATAGAAATCCCTGAATGACAGATCCGCTGGGAAGACTTCCAGGGGGACCTGCTAGAACAGACAGCTTGAGGGGAAAAAAAGGAAGGCTTCCAGATAGGCCAAACCCCAGCAGACCTGGGACTCAAGCCTGGGCACTGACATCTCTCCCTGTAGGACTCCCAGGTAAGATTATTTATCCAGAGATAATGGAATCCTGTGACCTTGGCCCAACCTCAGTGGCCGGGATGACAGGCAAAACGGAGTCTTTGTGCTGCACGAGTGCATCTGGTCATTGCTCGGAGGTGCGGGACCTTCGGTTTCAGGCAGTAAAATCCCACGTGAGCTACAATTTCAGTGAGAAAGAAGGAAATGATTCAAAACCTGAAAAATGTATTCATCCTTTGAAAGGAGGAGGGAGGGAGGGAGGGAGGGAAGGAGGAGGGGAGGGAGGAGAGAGGGAGGAAAGGGAAAGAAGAGCTAAATGGCGGGCTGCTGCCGGGCTCTGTTAAGTTGTTGGCAGGCCTTTCAGACTAGGGAGGGTTCAAGTCCCAGGCCTCCCACTAATGAGACTCATTACTTACATTTTATCTGATCTTTTTCAACATCTTTCTTAGCTGGGTGTTCTGTCTCCTTTTACAGATGAGGAAACTGAAGTTTGGAGCTATTAAGTGATTTGCCCAAGGTCACGCAGCAGGTCTTAAGGCCTGAGAGGTTTCAGATTCCAACCTCTTTTCTCTCTGCCCTTACTTGATAAATTTGCTTATCTACCTCAGGTAATTAGTGAAGGTAGGTAGGCGTGTCAAAATGACACTTGAGACCCAGAGAAAGCGATAAACTATGCCTCCTCTAATTCTCTTGTTGACAAGACTAATTATCAGGTTTCATTTTCTTCACAGGAATAGCCACCATCATTAAATATGGGGAAAAACTTTTTTGGGTTGGGCAACAAGAATGCCTCCTGATTTACTGCTGCTCGTAATTGAACATGAGGAAAGATATCTACGTTTCAAAGGCCTTCCAACCATGTACTGTGCTGTTCACTTCTGAGC